AGGGGGCTGCCATAATCATCCAAGAGCTTTCAATAGCCTAAAACACATAATGAACTCATTAAATAGTAAGTTGTATATAAATAATTCCATGTGTCTCATGAATTTATCCAACTTAGGTGTAAATTATGAAAATATGGTGAAGTGAATTAAAGTAATTAAATGAAAGATTAAGAGATGAATTTAGTTATGAGAAGTTTTCTAAGAGTTTTTTTATTGTAAAAACTAAACCTAATACACTTCCGAAGCTTATGGAAAATACAATTAAAATATAAAAAGTATGCATTTTAAAGGATGTTTTAGTGAATAACTCACAATCTAAGTTAAATTAACTCAAATTAAGCTCATGAGATTAATGAAGAACTAAAAATTAACAAATGATGAGCTTTCTATTTTTCTGAATTAATTTTCAAAAACTACAGTTTTACCCTTAAACTTCTAGAAATGTGCATTTTGCCCCAAAAAGTTTTGAAAATTACAAAATTGACTCAAATGATCTAAAATGCTTCTAATATGCACTAAATCCTACACTTAAGTAATTTTTTATAGTTAATGCAATAAATGTGGAACTTGAGCAAATATAATATGACTTTTGGTCACTAATAGTAAGAAAAAGTGTGTATTAAATACAATTTATTAGTTATCTAAGATTTAGATGTCGATGGATTGGTCAATTAATATGGTTATGCCACATGCAGAGGAGTTGTTAGAGATTTATTGGGCAATTGGATCCTAAGATTTCAAAAAAGATTGGGTTTCTTTCTCCCTATTATAGCTGAATGTTTTGCTCTTACCTCAATTCTAACTTTTTATAAACAATTCCAATTAAATAAAATTCATCGTAATATGGACTCTCTAGAAGCACCCCACTTGCTTCGAACTGGGGGAGGATTGACGCCCTCTTTGTGATCAAATATTATTGATGCACTGAACTGGCTACACTCTAATTGGGAAGTGAAAGTTTTTTATTATAACCGAGAGAATTTATAAGTGGCCAACTTCCCGACCAAAGATGCTCAACAGAGAGGAAGATTTCTACAATTTGATGGAACCTATTGTTGACTTCTCTACTTTCTATTGGGATAATAAATCTCATATTACTTGCTCGGTGAATTTTATCCAAGCTGTAGCCTGTCTTTTGTATGTCCAAAAAAAAAAAAATAGAGATGCTCAATTACATCGCTTCCTTTCCCTCAGATCTCTGTTTCTACTTCCACATGGTGATGGCGCTATATATGGTTAGTTGGATCAGAAGTTGCCTTGTGACATGTGATCATTGAATTAAATAAATTACAATAAATGAAAATGATTTATTGGTCCTTATTTTTTTATTTTTGATTCAATTTTTACAATATTAATTTTCAAGAAAAGTCTGAAAGAACTTATCAATTGCACATGAGGAAAAGAGGAGGACATGACAAAAGTTGTTGATTCCCTATAGTCTATACAATGTCAAAATTTTATTGTTAACTAGATTTTATATCTGTGAAATGCAATGCCTGATAATTTTAACTTTCATTTTTTGTTTAAAGAGAATTAAAAAAGTAGAAGAAAAGAGGGGATTTTAGTGAGTTCGATCAATTTTTTTTAATGGACAAGCATGTCATAAAATTTTCATCCAGAAAAAGTGTGCTGTAAGATTTTATTTGAGAGATGTCAGAGAAAAAAATTAAAAGAAAACATCAATTAAAAACTTTCTAGCCACAATTCTTCATTTTTCTAAAATTGAATTCATTAAAATCCCACCTCCCAACAAATAAATAATAATATGAGTAAAATTAATTTCATAATGTTACGAAAAATAATAATTTCCAGAAAGTGTGAAATAAAATTCTATAGATAGTTACAAATAAATAATTATAATAAAAAAATAACTATATATTTTTATTCTCCAAACCCCAAACATATTTGTGGAGAAAAGCAGAGGACCCTAAAAAGAATGACAAATTTATTTTAAACAAGATTAATAATACAACATGCATCAATTAAGGACACTCTTTACTAAGGTCTCTTTAAAACACCAATAGACAAACCAACAATCTAATTATGGTTGCACAGTCCAATGAACTAAGGCCTTGTTTGGAATGCAAGTATGAATTTTGATGGCTTGTGATTGGATTGACGTTGAGATTAGAATTGGAATTGATTGGGATTGAAGTTTTAAAAGTATGGTTGATATGAAGTAATATTTGGATGGAATACTTGCATTAATTTTATTTTATAATCCATCAAAAATCATCAAAATACTATAATGCCTTTATCATTAATACACAGTCGGTGGGAGAGTGGGGAAAAAGATGAATAGATCTACATGAGGAAGAGGATGAACTTGAACTCAAATCTAACACAATCAAAGTGGAGGGAAGACTTGAACCCAGATATGAAACTTGAACCCATCAATTTTGGGACATTGAACCCATCAATTTGTAACTCAAACCTAGATCTAGAAAAAGATGAACTCAAACCCATCAATGGTGAACTCAAACATGTGACTTAATATGGATATCGATGGTGGGAGGAAGATGAACCCAGATCTAACAAACTCAAACTTGAACCCATTAATGTTGAACTTGAACTCAAACTCAATCTTGTTTGAGTAGCATCGATCTATGCCACTATGTACCTTGTGATGAATTGAGGCTTGGCAAAGATCTTTCTACTTCTTTCAATCCTAAGACAAAGCATCGCTAGCAAGGAGCATAGCATCACTGTCAATGGCAAAGGTGGAGGTGGGAGATGACTTGAATGAGGAAGGGGAATGGTGTGAAGGGGCAATTTGGCTTGAAAATTTGTAGTCCTAGGATTAATTTTCTAATATCAAAAGGAAGGTGGTACTATGTATATCCACCTAGATAGGATTGGGCTTAGGAATAAATTTTTCATTCTCACTTATCAAACATAAAAACTTAGTATTGTCCAATTTCAAACCTAATCCCACTTATTCAATCCTACATAACAAACATTACCTAAGGGAAAAAGGTGCAAAGCAATGCTAACCTTTAAGACTCGAGAAGCTTTCGAGGAGAGAACATGCCATTTAATGTCTAGCTCGAAGGATGAATGGAAGGTAAATGGACTATATTTTGTAGCCTACTACTTAATCATGCTTGTAGAATGTCCTCACATTCTTTGGTTATAGGCAACATCGAGCTGCCCTATCCAAATAGTGCTACTCCCTTCCCCATGATGACATGAAGAAAATTCTTGGGTAAAATAATGTATATTCCGAATGAAACCACATAAAATTCATATAAACAAGCCAACAAATGCAAACATCGTTTTTACCTAAAAACAAATCTATCAAACCAACGATGCCTAATAAATATCATTTTTTAACTAAGGAAAAACCAATTAAAGTGATCAGACTAAGAGAAGACTCAACATCATATCATCATTCATAGTAACACTATTGAGGAAAGAAATTATCAACATAAATTGAAAACAAAAATTAAACCCCCCATCTCTCAATCCCTAAACAAAGTTGTGGGTTTAGGTTGTAATGTTATAGATTTTTCTAAATGTTTTTTAGCTTTGACTATTGGTGTTTGTATTTGGTTTTTTTTTAATAATTAATAAAAATGACTTGTTTTTCACCCCCATATATAATTATATAAACCTCAGCTAAGGTCAAAAGAGCAAGACAACATACATTACTCGTTTGGCTTAGCTTGCAGATATCTAAATTCTTTCAGGTTGCACTTTTTTGGGGCTGGATTTGGCATACGGGCTAATATATATATATATATATATATATATATATATAAAATCATGTGGATACCGCGAAAGAAGAGGTTTCGATAATTAGAGTTACACATGGATACTTGCGGTCAAAATATCTGCAGCGATTTAAAAAAAAAAAATACTGTGCACAGTGTATTCGAAAATATTGAAAAACCAGAGAGAAAATACAAGTGTAAAAGGACGTAAATTCTTGCTTTTTCGAATTCATTCTCGTTCAAATGTATGACCTTACAATTGTAGAAGATTTGATTTATAAATAATTGTTTATGTTGTGGGAATAGATTGATAATGTTGATTATTGGTAGGTTGATTCTTTTGCAATTGTCCAGCCTGAAATTGTTGTTGACCATGCTTGGAACCTCACAGTGAGAGTAATTTTTAGGTCACGTTCAAGGATCATTTAGACAAATTATTTATGGATAAAAATCAATATGAAATAAATTGCTATTAAAATGAAAATGTAAACTTGTCCTTTTTTAGTAAAACTTATTATTAATCCTTATCTATAATTGAGTGGTTTTTAAATGTAATTCTCTTTAATTTTTAACCAATATAACATGGATTCCAATCCAATGTTTAGAATGACTTGTTCATGAGAGAAAATGACAACTAAATCTTAAAGAATCAATTAATTCAACTTAAATTTCAACCAATTTTAAAATATTAACAAAGTTTTATGCTTTTGTTTTTTACAAATCTGACTTATAAAGAAATTAACTTAAACACTAAAGTTAAATATATAATTAAAGTTTTAAAAATAAGTTAAAAAATTCATCATTTTAAAGTTATAAAATTGAAAACTAAACTTGTAAATCTTTAAAACAATTAAAATAATAACTTTATTACTTTTTAACTTTAAGTATTAGCACTTGTTTCTCTTTTAAAATATTGAAAATAGCCAAACATGCAAATTTTTAGAACTGTTAGAATAATGTTTTTATTACTTTTCAAATTTCAATGTTAACATCCGCATTCTCTTTTAAAATTTAAAAAATGAATTATAAATTTATTATTTCAAAGTTGCAAAATGAGAAACCAAATTTGCAAGTAAAAATTTTCACCTAAGTCGACTTTTATAAGAGCAATGACTTGCTTAGTATCTTGGAGTCGCTGGAAACTCATTGAAACTTTAGTCGAATAAATTAATGCCCTTGACACTTAGTTGTCATTCTCCCTATTAATAATGTTGGAACTCATCACTGGCAAAATCACATTTTTCTTGGATCCAAAATGACCTTTGATCTTTAATCCAAGTCCCCAATTTAACATTACAAATGTACCTCAAGAATCCAGTTATAAATTGCAAGGAAGGAAGCAGTAAAACTCAACCAGCTTTATTCATGTTCAAAGAACATCACTTGAGAAGATCCTAGCTGAATCAGAATAAGTGGTAAAGTCGGCTGTGAATTAGAGCTTGGTAATTTCTTTTTCTTGCCAAAAAAAAAAAAGTACCTACTTATTTTATAACATCACAACGTTCACAACTTGCATTAAAATTATCTACGACGCCACCAATCAGGGATTTTTAATCTGCGGCTTCTATGAACAGAAAGTCTGACCTCAGGAAGCTTATGCCTCACCTGTCTCCATAGCATATTAACAGCATCTTCCTTCTTTGGTGGGTAATGAAATTCATAATAATGGGAAATGTTCTTGAGCTGCCTCCACATTTCAATCCATTTCTCCTTCGGAAATTTTCGTAGCTGATCCACCATGTAACCTGGTTCTAATGCTTCTTTGAAGGAGAAGAACACTGAGAACTTGGTGTAATCAATCTCATCCTCAAATGGGAGTTCTATCTTATCACTCACTATCACAGGAACACAGTGACTCACAATTGCATCAAACAGACGACACGACGATGGTGTGTCTCCTGCTGGATCCAAACAAAACTTCGATGAACGCATCTCCACAGAAGCCTGTTGTCACAGCAAAAACGAATATTGAAATCAACAGCAATGATAGCAATTCTCTGTTTATATTACACAGAAAGTTTCAAAATCTCAAACATCCCCATAACACTATATATCAATATATCAATCTCGTCAATATAAAATATAAAATCTGCAGCAAACTGTTTACAAGTCATAAACAGTATTATTTCCTTTGTGCAATGAAACTTGCTTCTTGGTTACAAGGCAAAGAAAAATCTTAATGCTAGAAATTTTGCCAACTAAGGAGGCGTAAATTAAACATATTAACTTCCTTCTACATAACATACCTCTTTTATGTTATCTGCTGACGCAACACTCTGCTCATAGCGAACATCATCATATTTACCAGCCAGTAGTTTAGCTAATTTAAGACGGATGGTACCTTCCTGCAACATCACAGAACACAGAAAATCAACTTCACGTTCGTTAGTATTTGAAGAAATAGTTACCGAGTTCTTTAAATTAACTCTTAAACAAAACATACATCCTTTCGTTTTGTTCCTCCTCGAAAGAAAAGCAACGTCTTGCGAGACTGATATGGATCTTGCGGGTCATCATCTGTGAAAGCGTCCACAACATGCACATAAGGGGCCACCACGTCCTTCCTCAAATTAGAAACACGTTTGGAGTAGCGACCGAAATCGACAACAATCTCAATAGTCGTATTAACCTGATTTCGCAGGAACTTAAAGGCATTTGGGTGTGTCATAGGAATAACATGATCTCTGCCTCCTGACCTTTGCCAATATTGAGATTTTCTCAAGAATTCAACTACATCTCTCTGAAATCAGTAACAAGCCGGAATCATTTCCTTCAGATAACAAATTATAATATTACTTTTAAAACTTCCTGTTATTTTACTTATGGTAGCAATTTTGAAGAGCCAGAGTTCACCTCCGTACAAGCAAAGGACAAATTTATACGGTGAAATCAGTCACATTGGCGAACACAGAGAAGATAATGTTAATTAATTATATACGCTAAAAAAAATGGATCAAATTTTACTTTGAATTAAACACCTGTAATTGATGATCAGCCTCCGCAGCTGGACCACTCATCTGATGTCCATGTAAATTATTACTCACAGAAGAAAAAAATGGCACAAAGAAGGCATCGGCAAGTTCAGGATCCGAAACCCTTATTGCTTCGGGCTGGTCTTTGTCTCCATCATAGATAAGCGAACCCATCATCCAGTACTCTACGCTGTGTTGCTTCCTCAGCCCAGCATTCATCGGATACGGCGGCCAATCCTGGGCGGTGACCGGAGTTTCCGCCGAATTATTCCTATCAAGCATCCCGACATTGAATCGGCGAGGAAGATCGTACATGTAGATCCGGAAAGGAGGGCCAGACGCCGGACATGGAGACGAAGAATTTAATGACAAGGAGAAATGAGATCGAATATTAATGTCACCTTTGAAAACTGTATATGAGGCTATGAGTAGGACCACGAAAATGGAAGAAAGAACCACTTTTCCAAACATGTTTTTTCACTGTTTGAAATTTTATTGGAGGAAGAAAATTGCCTTCTTATTCCTCTAAACGTGAAGTACACCATCCATGATTCACGTAAATTTGGAGGTGAATCTTCCAAAGACATTAATAAAGTGTGACGCTAAAAATTAATATTGAATAATTATTAACTCTGCCTTGAAGATTCCAACATTCCGATATGGAAAAGAAGCTCATACGTCTCTGTTTCCCTGCAATGGCTATTTTCGACAAACTCAAGGCGAGTCAAGTCTCAGTGATGGAACTCTTCATAAAACCTAGCTCTTCCCAGTTCTTCGACCCAGGCTCTGTTCGAAGAAAGCCATCCGATTCAGGAATACCAATTACAGTTCTGAATCAAAAGCGAAAGAATTGGAAATTCTAACCAACATTATCGATTTGTCCAGCGTCAATCATGTGATAAACTCGCTCCGACATGAAAAGATTGAAGCGTTTCGCAAAGATTTGTATATATCACTGGTCAAGAATGCCTCCAAGAAAATGTAACTCCGAAGAGGAAAGAAAAGGATCACAGAGAAATTTAAAACTGAACGAGAAAGAAAGACGAAGATGAAGACGAAGACCAAAGAGGAAAACCTAAGACCCTTCTGAATCAAAAGAGAGAATAAGGAGATCCCTGAACTTCGACAAATTAGTTGAAAGAGACGTTATGTTGCTCTCTTGACCGACAGTACCACTTTAATCGATCTGACGGATCATGTTCGTTGGCCAAGAAATATCTCACGTGTAATTAATTAATTAATTAATAATTAATTGATGTGATAATATTTGGTGCCACGTGTGAAAATATTTATAGGCCTGGTCCGGATTTAGTTTGGCCCATTACTCATGAATTGGCCAGATCTGATTAAAGCCCAATAACCAAACCTATTACGAGGGTTTATGGGCCAGAGCGCTCAGGTTTGTTGGTTGCTTTATATTTTTTGCTTTTATAAATTGTGAGCGTCATATTTATTCCTTCTTCGGCCTTCAAGCTAGCTAGGGCAGGAGCATCAGCACAAGCCAGCCGCCATGGTAGAGACAAGCCTCTTCCTTCCGATTCTCTTCTCTTCTCCAATTCATTGTTTGTAATTAATCGCACACTTTTGATTTACATGTTATTAATTTCCTATTTGTTAGGTGAAGTACTCCAGAGAACCCGACAATACCACGAAGTGTAAGTGCAGTTTTGCCTTCCAAAGTCCTTTACATTGTGGAATCATCTATTGTTTCTGCGTTTCGAGTAGATCGCGTTAGAATTACTCCTTTGCATGTTTTTTATATCTTTGTTTTTTATATTTTTTGTGCATAAATTGGTTTCCTTGTGTTTTGGTGCGAACTTGTATGGTTTCAAACTGTTGAGTTTTGTTTTCTTTATTTGGTTCTAACATGTGACCATATACGCTGCAGCCTGCAAGGCGAGAGGCTCCGACCTTAGAGTCCATTTTAAGGTACTGTATCTGCTATCTTGGTCTTCTTTATGATGTGAATTGTCTTCAATTGAGTTTGAAATGGAATCGCCGTTTAACGTTCCTAGGGTATGAGAGTGCTAGCAGTAGGCTCACCTTTTCTTTTAAACAGTAATAATTCTTGAGCATGAAATTTTCCGGTGTTACTGGATGCAATCATGGTGCGTGTTGTATTTCTAAAGTTCTCTGAAGCTTTTAGTCCCAGACACAGTTGATAACTGACGGCATCTTTCCTAATAGAAACTGAAATTAGGCCATTTTAAATGTCAACATGAAGTACTAAGAAGAAATAAGAAAACCTGATGGAAAAAAGCAGGATCTGTTGCCTTTGTGAGCAGTTCACTCGTAAACTTCAGGGACATAGTCACCATTGTTATTGGGTGAACCTGTGTGTATTTTGTCATTGAAGGTTCAGTAAATGATGGAACATGTCTTTTAGTTGATTGCATTGGCTAATCTCTTTGTTGCCATTTTAGTTAAAGATTTCTTATTATTTAAGGATACATTAGTGCGTCTAAAGTTGAGTGAAATGATTTATCCCCTCATCTAATGGATTATTTGTTTAATTTTTTTGATAGTCGATCTCATTAACAACATTGGCTTGCAAAAGAAGTCATTTATTCTACTTACTTTATACGGCTTAAAACTTAAGCTATATGCAATTTGTTATTGTGTGATTCGTCTTGACTATTTGTAATAAGTTTTAGTGAAAGATGAAACCTAAACAATACTCGTGCTATTTACTTTTTGTCTAACTTTTACAGAACACTAGGGAGACAGCCTTTGCCATTAGGAAGTTGCCCTTGGCGAAGGCAAAAAGGTACTTGGAAGATGTGATAGCCCACAAACAGGCTATTCCATTCAGAAGGTTCTGTGGCGGTGTTGGGAGGACAGCTCAGGCAAAGAACAGACATTCTAATGGACAAGGGCGCTGGCCTGTGAAGTCAGCTAAATTCATTCTTGATTTGCTCAAGAATGCAGAAAGTAATGCTGAAGTATGTCGTATTAATATGCTTATTTACGATTTTTTTATGTTAACATTTGCCTATCAACTTAACTGTTTCTGGCATCCTTCCAGGTGAAAGGCTTGGATGTAGATGCTCTCTACATTTCTCACATCCAGGTTAATCAAGCACAGAAGCAAAGACGCAGAACCTACCGTGCTCATGGAAGAATCAACCGTATGTTTAAAACCTTGAGATGTTAATTTTAATATTTTCGCTGTGTGCCATCACTTATTGAAGACTGTTTTTGCAGCCTACATGTCATCTCCATGCCACATAGAATTGATACTATCTGAAAAAGAAGAGCCTGTGAGGAAGGAGGTATGAATTATGATCATCTGTCTTTTGGATGTTGATTCCTTTTCAGCTTTGTTCATCTAATGTTTGTTGTGCTTTCTTTGTTTTGTAGCCGGAGACCCAGTTGGCAACAGGCAAGAAAGCCTAAGCTTTTTGCAGTGTTGCGTCATCATCAATTGCTGCTGACATAAGAGTTTTGTGATTTTTACTTGTTGTTTACATTTGGCATTGAGCTTTTCTTAGAAGAGTTGTGTTTTGTCTCATACTTCGAGTTGATCAGATCTTCGTGAGAACATAACGTGCTAAACCACCTGATTGGTTGGTTCGTTACTCTGTTGGGATACTTGTTGTTTAGAGCGTAATATTAAATTTTGATTTAGAACATGAGATGCCTATCTAGCTCTCTTGATTTGTTCACGTATTTTGGGCCTTGATTGCCTTGGATTTTATATTTGGTAGGAAGTAAAGAGAGAATGAATACAGGATGAGAAAACAGAAGATAATTTATATTAATAATCATAATTAAAATCATATTGTCTCCATTTGTTTTTATTAAATTCAAAATTTAAATGTTTCAGTTTATTTTATTTAAATAAAGTTCATTCTTCAAAGATTGCTCAACTTTATCCTGATATGGCTCGTTTTCAGAATTCAGACGAGTTCAGCACTACCATTTGGTTTTTAGAATTTTCTCATTCCTTACAAGGGCATGTTCGGTTGATTTCTTCAAAAATCATTCCATGCTCAACATTGGGTTCATCCTTCTGGGTAAGCTTATTCCATAGATCAATGGATTGGAAAGAGGCAGGGTTCCTAGAAGGATAAATTAAAGGACTAAAATGCTTCCTGCTCTTGAATTTCTCAATTTCTTCTAACAGTTGATTTAGGGAAAATGACAATTAGGATTCACAAGAACATTAATTGATAATTATAGGTAATTAATTATTGAAATTTTAATAATAGATTATAAATTATTTTTTGTTAATTGATTTTAAGATTAAAAAGACCCAATTAAAGATATGAAGATTTTTAAATTTTTTTATTGATTTTTTCACAAATAATAAGTTTGTGATTTACAAGTGATTCATGAAAATTCTTTAAAAATAATTTTAAATGTATTTAATGAGTTTTTTTAAGTGATTTATTTATGAATTTTTTTGTTTAAGATTAAAAAATAAGTAATTTTTAAGTAGTTTAAAAATTTATAAAAAAATTTATTTTGTAGATATTTTATAAAAAGCAAATATTATTTTATATTTAGTTGTAATAATAAAAAATAATTATTAATTAGTTATTTTTAAATGTTATGATATCTTTCTTTACCATTGTTTTATAAAAATAATTTATTGTTATGTTATTTTAAAATTTTATGATATTTTCGTGTATTTCATTTCTTTAAAACACTTTTTTCATCTATTATATTAAATTACTTTTAGAAGTTATTCAAACCAATTTTTTTAAAATAATCAGAAATTTTTTTATGGCAATTTTGATCATTTTTAAAAGTTTAAACAAATATAATAAAGACATACAAAATAGATTTAAGAAAACAAAAGTGATTTTCCTTTGAAATAAGTTAAAACAAATTGCCTCTATATTGATAGCAAAAAAATAATAAATAATTAATTTGTAATTTATAATTGACTTTCATAAATTCTTAACTAATATTATAAATAATTTTTAGTGTATTCATTTAATTTTTTTTAGAAATTTATCTATAGTAAAAAATTAACATTCATAATTAACTCGTAAATTTTCAATTGACATTTAAAATAATCCTAAATGTGTTTAGTAGATTTTTCAACTCACAATTTTTTTTTTAATTGAAAGTAAGGACTATAATCTGTTATTAAGATTTATAATTATAGCTCTTATGAAATCCCTAATTGTTATTTTCTCATTGATTTATGGTTATCTATGTTATTTTATTAACAATGAGACATTACGGATATAATTTTCTCTCTCACACACACCCACCCACACACACATAAATATTGTGTATATATATAATAATAATATTATTTATTTAATTATTATATTATTGATTTAACTATTAGTTTAACTCATTAGACTATAAAAATTGATATCCGCTAATCTTGTCGATCTTACATTCGGTTGGATTTTTAGAATGTTGCAATTTGTAATTATTAACCTTTTAATTGCATACGTGTAATAAAAAAGCTAATAAAAATTATTTTCACATTTCAATTTCAGCCACGCTATGATCCGTACTACACCCTGGGTAAGTTAATTTACAAATTTTTTGGTCCTACGGCGATAGTCAATCAACCATTATTGCTCCAAAGTATAAAAATCTTTAGTTGGCTGTTAAGGTTGATTTTTACACTTTAATTATTTTTTTTAAAATCATCCAGTGTCAAAAACTCTTTATTGTAACAATATTACTTTTGAAATAATTAAATCGTCACAATATTACCCCTAATATTAAATGGACAAACATTATTTATAAACTTAACTGACTTAGAAATAAGTTTAACTCAAATCATATCAATATTGCCCTTGAAATAATTAAGTTGTAGCAATTTTATGCTTGAAAAAAAATTAAATTATAACAATGCTATCCCTAATACTAAGTTGACAGTCAGCGTTTACTCAATTAATATTAGGAGTAACATTACTATAATGTAATTATTTTAAGAATAAAATTGTTACTATAAAGAGTTTGCGACACTAAATGTTTCTACAAAAATAATTTAGAAGCAAAAATAAATTTTAATCCTTTATAATATTAAAGGCTCTATTTTTGGGGTATGCTTTTACGCAGTTATGTTCCAGAGGATGAAGCATGTATGGAATACTGTAATCTTCCATATCTAAATTGTCGAAAAAACCTATTGAATCCCATCATCATCAAAACTTGACATCTCACTTTCGGATTCTCTGAGTGATGGAGGATTAGAAGAAGCATGAGAGATTTGTGATGAATTTGGATTCATCTAAACTAAATCCATTATCAAATCCAATTCTCCAATAGCATCATATCGTTACTCTGAAGTTGTGATTGAGGTTGAGGTAATGTTTCTGAAGAACAAATCAATTGAGTTGACTCTATTCTTTTGGTTCTAAATATGCTTCATATAGTTCTTATTGTTCCTATAAACATTACATAAAAAAACCCAATCAGCTAACTACAAAAGACGAAAAGTGCACAACAATATCAATATCAAAGTTAATAAATTTATATCAAGAAATTTAAAGTGTTTCCACGTTCTCTTCTTTAGAGAGAAGAAAATTTTCCATTTCAAGTAATTATTTCCTATTTTAAAAAGGTATCTGCTTATATATTGGGACATGTATACTGATGAGTATCATCTATAATTCCTATACATTCTTTTTAAAGTAAGCCCAGTATCTTTTGACTAATGAATACATAGCTGAAAAAACGTGATATTTTAAACACAATGCCATATGTTTCAATAAAAAAAAAGGGGGGGAGGGGGGAATGACACCAAGGTTCCACAAAAGAAATTTTATTGTTAAGAGGTTTCATGAAATTTACAAAATATTTATAAGTTTCAAATCTTGCTTATTTGCAACTTAGCAAAAAAGCATTTATAACTAGATAATGAGTATTTATAACTTACTATTAAAAATTATTTTCCCTTACAAGTTGTAAATGTCAGTTGCCAGTTGTAAATGTCCGTTGTCAAGTTGTAAATACACAAAATTTAAAATTTAAAGTATTCTGTAAATTTTATAACACCTCTTAGTAATAACTTCTCTTTTTGTGGGACTTAGGTGTCATTTTTCTAAATAAAGGGGTACACATTCCTCCACATAACTGAATTTTAGGGTGTTAGTTTTTTTTGTATAAATACTTTAAGTGCAAAAATATTCTTTAACCAAAAGTCAACTAAAAGTTAATGAACAACATCAATGTCTTTTGGTTAAGGAATGACATTGTAATGATCTTGTCACTTGAGAGGCGACATTGATTAATAAATAGTTCATGGTATCTTGTGCTCCTTATAGAATAGTTGAAAAGAAAAAAAAAATGCACTTCAACCCATAAACATGCCATATCATATTAAAAGTGTTACATGGCTTACCAACTAGGTATTCATAAATAAAAAAAAAAAGCATCAATCCATATTAATGATTAACTAAGGCTGTGTTTGAATGCCTATAGATTTGGATTTGGATTTGGATTAGGATGTGGGCCAAATCCTTTATTTGGGTATTTAAAAATATATGAATTTGAATTTGATCTAAATCTAAATTCAAGTCACATTGTAATTTCTTTATAATTTAAAATATTCTCTCAGACCCTATTATTTCAAATCTCTCATCTCTTGTCCCGCATCACATTCGTCCTCATCAGTCTTCTCTTGCTTAGTCATCTTGTTTTCTCTATCGTTCTCATCTCTCTCACTCAGGTGCCGTTCTCGTCTCTTTCACTCAAGTGAGTGTCCTCATAAAGCTTCTCTTCATTTCATCTAACACACATTGTCACTATCATCTTTTGTCTCTTCTTCCTTCCCTCTTCTCTTACCTTGTTTCTCTTAATTCTCTAAGTATGTTTTAGATTGAGTAAGTCTATATATGTTGGGTGAACTGGTTTTAAGATTTTAAATTTTATTTGAGATTTCTCCCTTTATTGTTTTTTCTGTTTTAGCTAAGATTATATGAATTTATATGTTCTACTCTAATATTCAGTGAGCTTGTTCTTGCTTTTGGATTAAGCAAGACAAGTTCAGATTCTAAAATTTGGATTATAAGGAATTTGGAATGAATATGTTGAGGTATGTAGAGTTTTAATGGCATGAAATTTATTTTGAAATTTGAGGTATACAAAGTTTTAATTGTTATTAATGTTTCATTTAATAACTTTTATTTTTTCCTAGACTTTTCCTAAAGCAAGTGGCTTTCAAAATAGAATAATAGTGAATTAGGATGACATTGTCATGTTATATGGGAGTGATAAAGCCACTAGTGAAGGTGCTGTAAATTTTCAAGATGTTAATGAGGAAACAGATCAAGAAGGAAATAAAGTACAATCTAATATCAATTTAGAAGATCAAGATACTTCAAGGTCAAATTTCACAAAGTTCTAGAAGAGTTAAAAGAGTTAGAAAAGATCCTTTAGCTGATGCAGTAATGTAGATAGCAAACTGATTCAAAGAATATTTGCAAAGTAAGAAAAAAAAAAAAGCTTAGTGGAGAAGAAGTTCATGCTGTAGTCTCCCAAATTCAAGGACTTCAAAAATTTGAAGTTTTCAAGCTATTAGAAAGCTAATAAAGGGTGATCTAGAAGTGTTTAATTTAATCAAGTCCCTTCCCAACGATGACAAAAAAGAGTGGTTTTGATTTTTTTCTTGAAAGTTGATAGCATTCAACATTATGCTAGTTGTTAAAACATGCCC